TAACGCACGCTCACAATTCCTGACATGGGATTCTCAACCATTGCCCGCTTATCAGTACTTTGAAAATGTTCGAAACTTTTTGGTAGCAGTTAAAGAATTGAAGCTACCTACATTTGAAGCATCTGATCTTGAAAGAGTAAATTAAGAACCCTGTTGTTAATTTCTATTATGCACAAATAGCTTAATGTGTTTGTGCATGTATACAATCCTTAAATTGAGTTTTCTTTCATTTAATATCTTTAGGATAACTTGGAAGTTGGGTCATCGGCGAAGGTGGTTGATTGCATTCTAGCTCTGAGAGGATACCATGACTGGAAGCAATTGAGTGGAGGAAATGGATTCTTTAAGCCCCCGAGATCTCCTCTGCTTATGCATTCTGCAAATAGGGTTCACTCACGAGCTTCGGAAGCAATCTTCTCAGACACTTACCAACAATTAGACATGTCCAAAGCCTGTGACGACATTCCACTCACCGAGAGTGGAGTTCAAAAACTTGAAGGTTTTAAGGATTTTTCTTTCCTATGTTTCAGTACATATGCATACTTGCACAAGGCATTTGTCACACATATATAGGAAATATTTAAGTATTACTCCAAATGATGATTACCAAATTTAATGGAATTTGTTATGCATAATCAATTAAGGAAAGGTGGTAAGGAATTGTCTTACATAGCTGAATTCATAATATTCTAAGTACATTAAATTTTTGTCTCAAATAGTGACTTAAATATTTCGGCAAGAATATAATTAATTCTATGTTTGTTGATTGAAACTCCTAAGTTTGAAACAATAAACCATAATTTGATGAATCTTTCTTAGTCTGATACTTGGTATAATATTTTTATTTGCTATAGTTTATAAACTAATTTATATGGATAAGTTTTATCATAGGAATAATAGGAAATTATTATTTTATTTAATGAAGTCATATTTGAAGTTGTCACTTGCACATGTAGCAGCCTGCAGCTATACATATGTCTTTCTGGTTTGGATTATTATTATATTTATTTTTAGACTTACTTTTTTTTATCCATTTGATTTGTAGATTTGATTGCCAAGCCCATTGTTGAATGTATGATTGACAAAAAGGAAAACATAGATAATAATCTTATTGCTTCCTTTCGTAGTGGCAATCTGGTAATTGTTAATCCTATTGATACGCAAACTTTCCTTTCATTTCACATTAAACAAATTGAACAATAGCTAGAGCTGAAGTAGTTATTTTACAGGATCCGGGCAAGTTATTCGGCAACATTATGTCTACTTGTTTGGAGGAACAACTCCAAAACAAGTTCCCTGAGGTGAGTAAGCTTAAAGGACCTTTGTAGTACATTATGATCATCACTTAGCTTGGTGGTCTCACTTTCTTTCTTGTTTATGTGTCTCTAAAGTATTAATGAGTTACATTAACATCCTTTTGCCCAAATACAGTTGAAATCGATCTTCAAAGATCTCCTTGGAGGAGGTAGCTCACTTGCTCATCCAATATCACCACCACCTCTAGAGCCTCTAGAGAATTTATCTATTAGAAATCCGAAGGTATGTTTTATATTTTAATCATATTAAGTATGTCTTCTATAAGGTAGGTACCATTTTAACTCTAAAATAATGAATTTGATTAACTGATTTCAAAACCTCACTATGTTTTTCAAAGTCTGATCTTGTTTAGAGCACTATCTTTCTTAAAATAATGAGTGCAAAAGCACCTTTTAAGCTTCACTTTATCAATATAACTGAAGTATATCAACATTAAACCTCAGAAAAGGCACATATAGAGTTTAATGAATTGATGAAATGTAAGGATCTCTCTCTCTCTCTCTCTCTCTCTCTCTATATATATATATATCATGCAAGCACACACACAAACAAACAAATATATTTGTTTTGTGAATAATATGTTTTGTGTCATGAATACATTCTTTCTTACAGTGTTGCAGAGCTTGCTTGAAAAAGGGTAGCTGCAACCACTGGTATCTATTTCAAGTGCAAGAAAAAGAACTATCAGTAAGCTTTCTGTGAACCCATCTATGTCATATGTGTGTACAACTTATTGAATATTGATTTTGTTAGACAATCAATACACCAGTCCTTTTTTCTTCCACTACAGTGTGCGTTTTGTTTCAGTTACCATTCAGTATTTCATCTGTCTTCCTGTACATGCTAAGTACATGATTCAAAAGTTACATGAAATGAGCAAATTAATCAACTAAATTCTATTTACGAACACCATACAATACTTGAGGAAAAAGGGGAATGCTTGATGATGTCCCTTTTTAATGTTCTTGGCTTTACATTGCCAATTTCATTTATTTTGGTGACACGTGTCTGGGTAAGAATGTCTTCCTGAATTTTCTGTGTTTGACATGCAGAATCTCAAGGAATTGCTGTCCAGAACAAAGAGGGAATTCAAAGACTTACAATCTCAATTGCAAAGCGATTTGAAACATTTGGGTAAGTGAGCTATTTAAGAAATTTTCAGCAATATCATCCCCAGAAATCAATTAATCAATCTCTATTCTACTATTAAAAGAAAGGTCAATCAAAACTTGTTTTGTGGGATTTGATAAGCATATGCATCCTAGTATGTTTTGCAAGTTCGTAAATGCTAACTAGTTTTAATTTTGCACGAGTTCAGGGAGTCAGGTACAGGAGATGTCTACTGCTGCTCTTGGGTATCACAAGGTTGTGAAAGAGAACAGGAACCTATACAACATGGTTCAGGATTTAAAAGGTTGGTTAATTTCTGAATAACAACCATTTACTGTTTTGATGAAATTATCAGTCTTGCTTATTTTGTTTCTTTTAAAGATTAACTACAAAGCATATAACCAAGTGTGTTTACTCTATCGTGGTTGAAAATTTTCTTCAGGGAATATTCGAGTTTATTGCAGAATTAGACCTGCCTTCAGTGCCAAAACAAGAAATGTGATAGATTTTATTGGAGAAGATGGGTCATTAGTGGTTGTTGACCCATTGAAAACCCAAAAAGATGGGAGGAAAGTTTTTCAATTCAATCATGTGTTTAGACAAACTGCTACTCAAGGTAATACACAGATTCTTCTGTTTTACAATTTTGTGAATTATCTTCACTTGGCATAATAATCATTCCCGCCCCCCCCAACACACACACAGATGAGATATTTAAGGACACTCAACCAGTAATTAGGTCTGTAATGGATGGATACAATGTATGCATTTTTGCTTATGGTCAAACTGGATCTGGAAAAACACATACTATGGTAAGGTTCTTTTCTGATTTGGCTTCAGATGCAAGTAATTTTTTTTTTTTTCCCGCTTTTCCTGCATGATTTACTGTTGATTGTCAAATATATGGTCTCTGTTTATTTATTTTATTTTCAAACCAAGATTTTCTCACTGCATATGTCTTCCTCTGTGACAGTGTGGATCAACTAGGGACCAGGGAATCAATTATCTAGCTCTCAGTGATCTCTTTCGGCTGTCTAATACAAGGAAGAACATCATGAAATATGATATTCATGTCCAAATGGTTGAGATATATAACGAGCAAGTCCGAGATCTTCTTGCCGAAGATTCTAAAAACACAAAATATCCTTTTGCAGTTGCATTTCTGCCACTTGGCACATAAATTTTCTGCCTCTTGGCAGTTAAATTGCTTTCTTTGTTTGAAAGCTGTACTTTTCGTTCCACTTTAATTATTCATTTGCCAAATTTTTGTATTCTTGACTATCAGCAAATTAGAAATTCGAAGCTGTACTAGTGAAAATGGCTTGAGTATTCCTGATGCTTCCATGCATTATGTGGAATCCACCAATGATGTTCTTAGCCTGATGAAACGAGGTGATCTCAATCGTGTTGTCAGCTCCACTGCCATCAACAACCAAAGTAGTCGTTCCCACAGGTCCAACATTTATTTTATTTTTTTCGTCTGTTAAATTTGATGAAAAAGTCTATTTACATTAATTGTCCACTGCCATCAACAACCAAAGTAGTCGTTCCCACAGGTCCAACATTTATTTTATTTTTTTCATCTGTTAAATTTGACGAAAAAGTCGATTTACATTAATTGTTTATTTTGCAGTGTCTTGACAGTACATGTGCATGGTAAAGATGTATCTGGAAGTATTCTTCGCAGTTGCCTCCATTTGGTGGACCTTGCAGGAAGTGAACGGGTTGAAAAGTCAGAAGTTAACGGTGATGGCCTCAAGGAGGCACAATACATAAATAAATCTCTTTCCTGTTTAGGAGATGTGATCTCGGCCTTGGCTCAGAAGAGTTCTCACATTCCTTACCGAAACAGCAAGCTTACGCTACTCCTGCAGAATGCATTAGGTTGTAATATGCAATATAAATGTACCCGTCTTTCAAAGCTCTTCATTTAATTAACTTATTATTGCAAATTTTTGCCAAAATCACCTATTCTAAATGTGACGGGTCACTTCTGCTTGTGGAGTTTAGGCCTTCTCTGTATGAAATTTATGCATGTTGTATACTGATAGTTTTAATACCGTACAGGAGGATACGCGAAAACATTGATGTTCGCTCATGTGAGTCCTGAAGCAGATTCTTTTGGGGAGACAATCAGTACTTTGAAGTTTGCTCAGAGGGTCTCGACAGTTGAACTTGGTGTATCTCATATAAACAAAGAGAGCAGTGAGGTTATGGAACTTAAGCAACAGGTAAATGCATCTTCTTACATCACTATTGCACGGCATGTTCACACGTTGCATATCTTTTAGGCCATTTCTTAACAGCTTAAGCTTTTGGGACTGTGGTAATCTACCATTGCATCAAAGCTTAGGTTGGGGAGGTTTTGGGTTCTAGTTTCTCCGTTTGCATTTGGTTTCGGTTTGCATTATTTTTTCTCTGTATGTATGAATATTTGCGTCTCCATGTGCAAGACGGGACTGCACATGAGGGAGGGTGTTGGAGAGCTTGATATATGTTGTTGAGCCCATTTTTTAAAATCTTAAGATTTTGGGACTAGTGTTGATCTAACATGAACTTTTTACACGTTGTAGATTGAGAGCCTCAAGAAGGCATTGGCTAACAAGGAAGCACAGACTGTTCGACCTACTAAATCAAAGGAGCCAAGATCACCACTTGAGAAACCACCGCATGCAAGGACTGAACGTACTCCTCCACGCTCCCAAAGGTTGAGCATTGAAAATTCCAACAAAACGGAAATGAAGAGAGCAATCAATTCTGTTGACAAAAGGGGACCTAAAAGCCCTTCTATGCCAACTCGCTCACAGAGATTAAGTTTAGAAGGTTCAAGAACTGTTCCCAAGGATCCAGTGCAGATCAAACTATCTGAAACTGTGAGCAATCTCCTACCATCCGAAGCAGTGTTGGTACAGAAATATACCCAATTTCAAGATCCTGAAGCAGCCACAAAGCCATATGGACATGTCAGTAATGGTGAATCCATGATCGACATATATCGTCCAAGGGCTCCTCAGAGTCCAACTCTTCAACCCAAGACACCTGAGCCACCAAAACTTGTTAGAAATGAGGTTCATATCATGATGCACGGTGAGTCTAACTTTTCTACGGAGCCTCGAACCCCTGGCTTGACTAGTAATGCAAATGGAAAAGGATCTCACATAAGGAAATCGCTTCGGACAATTGGGAAGCTGATTAACGGCTCTGGGAAAAGGTAGTTAAAACCATGAATTGGTATTATCCTTGGCTCCCTTTGTCTGTTATTTTAGTGCATAACTTGTTAAATGGTGAAATTGGGAGGTGCTTAAGGTAGTGTTTGGATCTTGGATTTGGAAAAAGGATTTGTGGTTGAGGGGGAAAAGTGAATGAAAAATAAGCTAGATTTTTGTCACTGTCACTTTTCCCTTCTCTTTTCCTTTCCCTCCCCGAATCATAGTACCAAACATGGTCTAAAGTTCCAAGTTTAGACCGCTCTCTGAAAATCTCAATGCTAAAAATTGCAGGAATCAACAAAAAAAAGTTGAAGCATCCCCAGTAAATGGCATGCGCAAGATTCATGATGCAAGGTCACCAGTTTCGTCTAATGCATCCCCACTGACGGGTGTCGTTCAAACATCAGACAGGAGATCTCCTCTTGGAGGTAAATCAACGAACTCTTGTAAGTTAAACTAGCAGAACCCTCATTGGCATACCTTTTTGCTTTGTGGTCTACAACGGGGTATATGATGATTCCATATTATCAATTGCTTATATTTGTGTGAAGGTGCAAATGAAACTAGAAATTCGAAGACACCGCCTCCGGTCCACATATCGGCCAAGGCAACGAATCAGTGGATGTAGATCATTTAGCAATAAGCAGCAGAGGATAATAGTGGTGCGGTGCTTCGGCTCGAAGCATACTCTGCTGAGATTTGATTTAGGACACACTTTTTAATTCAGAGTAGCCATGACTTCTGTTTACAACAAACCATTTGTTGACATTTTGCCAGATTAATAATTCATTCATATGATTTCAGCTTCTTCTTTGTCTTTTTTCCATTTTTCTTTTTTTTCTTTTCCCCCTGGGGCCAAGGTTGAACTGCATTTGGCACCATATTGAAGTTCATATTGCCTTTTGGAATGACACACAAAATTCTTGCCTTTTGGAATGACACATTTGTATATAGTGTTTGGTCGTGGTTTTTAAAAATTAATTCCACACTCACTTTTAAAAACTCAGTCGAAGGCGGGAAAATTTGGGCTAACCGGTCGTCCCACCAATCATCCGGCCGGTTGACCGGAACAGTGCAATATATATATATATATATATATGTGTGTTGCAATTGACACATGTTAATTTTTCTATATTTAATAAAAAATATTTTCTGAATTTTTTAAAAAATTTTGTGAGTTTTAATAGAATTTTGAATTGCGTGTTTAGTTATGAGTTGTAAGTTTTTGTATCAAATATTATATGTCACATTAAAATTTTGAAACTCAATTCAAAACTCTTTTCAAAACTTATAACTAAATAAATTTTTCACACTTAAATCATAATTTTAAAATTTATACTCAAAATATAATTTTATTTTCAAATCATAATTTTAAAACTATACCAAACTGTCCAAATCTGCCTATAGAATTTTTTATTTGACTATCAGTCACGTCTTCCTAACAAATAATTTTATAAACAATCCGGCTGGCCAAGATATAATTCATAGCAAACCAATGCACATAGAAACAATGAATCATGAATACAAGTTGATAAAGAACATAGAGAGAGTCGTAATTGATGAAGTCACAAACAAATAACAGTATAATAAAATAACACTACATATAATCAATCTGCTATTGAAAGTTTCAACAAACACCACTCATTCCCTATCTTTCCTTGTTTTCTGTTTTACCTCTCATCTCATGGAAGCAACACCAAATCCAGTGAAGGTGCTTGAGGTATGCAGGGTGGCTCCACCGCCTATCTCACCTGACTCCGCCGTCCCAACCTCTCTTCCTCTTATATTCTTCGACCTTTTTTAGGTGAGATTCCCTCCCGTTCTACGCATATTCTTCTTCGAAACCTCCCATGCAACTACTACTTTTTTGGACACTGTCCTTCCCAAATTGAAGCATTCCTTGTCCCTCACACTCCAACACTACCTTGTGCTAGCCGGAAATTTGACATGGCCCCCAGATTCCTATAAACCAATCATCCAATATGTTGAAGGTGATGATGCAGTTTCTCTTACCATAGCCGAGTCTAAAGCTGATTTCTACCATCTTTCAAGCTACAGCTTTCGTGAAGTTAAAGAAATCCATCATTTTTTACCCCAATTCCTATCTTCTGACACACGAGCACCGTTGATGACATTGCAAATTACTTTGTTTCCAAACAAAGGGTTTTCAATCAGTTACGCCACACACCATGCAGCACTTGACGGGAAAATTGTAGCTCTGTTTTTGCATTCATGGGCTTCCATTTGTAGGCGCGGCGAAGACTCAACTTTAACACCGGAAGAAACTCCATTCTACAACAGGTCTTTGATTAAAGACCCAGGTGATCATGAGAGAACTTACGTGAACTTCTTGTTGAACCTCAATGGACTCAACAACAAAAGTCTCTTGATATGGGACTTGAAACCTCCAACTGATATAATGCTTGGTACATTCCAACTGACACGAGCAAACATAGAGTATATCAAGAAGAGGGTCAAAACGCAATGGCAAGAAAAGCAAAAACAAGAACCAGCAATTCATGTATCAAGCTTTACAATAGCAAGTGCCTATGTATGGGTTTCCCTAGTTAAAGCCAAAAAAATAAGCACAGGGAAAGTTCATCTCGGATTCAGTGTGGATTGCAGGGCTCGCTTGGAACCCCCTATCCCTTCAACTTATTTTGGGAACTGCGTTACCGGCCGTCTCGTGGATGCAGATTCAAATGACTTAATAGGAGAAGATGGAGTGGCCACGGCAGTTAAAGCAATATGTGAAGCTATAGAAGGTTTGAAAGATGGAGCTGTACAAGAGGTTCAATTGTCTAAAATGCTTTCTATAGACAGGAATAGATTATTTACCATCGGAGGCTCACCTCGCTTTGAGTTGTACAACACTGATTTCGGGTGGGGGAGACCAAGGAAGGTGGAGATGACATCAATTGATAAAAGTGGAGCTTTCTCTCTTTCAGATTCCAGAGATGGTAATGGTGGGCTTCAGATTGGGATAGTGTTGAAGAAACATGAAATTGAAGCTTTTGCTTCTCTTTTTGTTAGTGGTCTTGAAACTCATTGAGTCCGTAAAACCCATTGGCACCTCCTTGTATGTTTGATGCAAGTATGTTTTCCATTGGTGTGTGTTTTATTTGTGTTTATCTGTTTGATATCAAATAATGATATTGAGCTCATCAACATTATACTTATTTCTGTTATTCTGATTTTTTGTATGAAGATTTGACATACATCCAATATTTTCCAAAATGTTCCAAAAAATTGCTTTTGATGAATGAAATCGTCAAGGCTTGTCACATCAGAATGAGATTTTTTTTATATTAAAAATAGAAAGGGGGAATAGTGCATTTGGATTACAGATAAATTCAAAAAT